GGATTGTTGAAAGGGTTTGTATATGAGACAATGTGTGGCGAGCTGCAAAGCCGACCAGTGGTAGTTATTAGGTGCTTTGAACCCCATTGTCTGTGCTGACCACAGATGGTCATCGGATGTTTTGAGAGGAGCAGATAAAACCGTGAGATGATGAGGGGGCACTTGGGAGGGTTTTCCTGCCAGCCTTGCAAATGCAGGCCCTGGAGGAGGTGGCTGTGGACCAACCCCCAGAGACGGTCACTTTAAAGGGAAAAGGGTGTGCTTCAGGCTTACGAATCCCAGTTCCAAGGAGAGGGCGGGGACACCGCTAATGTGGTCTCTTTCTAGTCTGGCCGGGACTTAACGATGGCGCTTGGCTGGTGCTTCAGGCAGGAACAAAGGGATGCAGTCTTTGCTGGGTCCCTGGGCATGGAGGCACTGGCTGGCTCGTGACCCCTGTCTTCCCTGCCCCTCTTCCCTCGGAGACGTCCCCTCTCTGTCCACACACGGGCGTTATTCCTGGGCCAAGCCGGCCTTCTGGCCGAATGGTGGACCCTTTCCTCCGTCTGGGATTTGTCCCCCACCGAGGTGGTGGGCTTCTGCCCCCACCATGGTCAACCCCCAATTTCCTGCCTGTTTAAAGAAATGTGAATTCCTTTCACCTGTTGCCCAACCTTCACCAAGGCCGTTTCTCACACATTTGCCCTTTGTTCTTAGGCCTGGAAAGTATTTCAGGCTTGAGGGCTTAAGAGAAGTTTTCCAACGTTTCATGGCCCTTCTCAGTCAGAACCCTGGAGAAATGCAGGGATAGGGTCTCCGAGCCCCTCGCGGCCTGTGGGCCCAGCCTGACCGCCCTTCTGGCTGGGGAGCCTGAGCTGGCTGTGGGCTCAGGTGATGGGGAGTGTCCTGCCGGATGAGGACAGACTCCTGCCTTGTTCCCTGACCTTCTCTTATCTCATCCCAGTTCATCTCCTGTTCCCGAGGTCTCCTCCCTTGCCCTCACCCTTGAGTGTTTCAGCTGTTTTCGTCTTCCCTTCATTTCCCTCCCTTTCTTCTCCGCGTTCGGACCCCAACCCTCTGCCTCTGCCCTGGAAGATCTGTATCTTGGATACATCCCCTCTTCCTGGCTTCCGTCTCCTCTGCAGACCTCGTTGGGACTTGCACCGTGTGCTGAGCAGAGGGCAGGGAACACCCGTCCACACTCTGGGCCTGGAGGGGAGAACACAGGGGCCGTTTACCTGGCCGCCTTTCTGAGATAGCATTGCCCTGAGAAGCTGTTTCCCCAAGTGTTTTCCTTGGAACGATTGCTTAGAGGAGCCTCCCCGCAGTGGAAAGTCCCCGAACGCAGAGGACTGTGTGGCCCGAGCGCTGTTTCCCTCGGACACATGACCGTATGGAAGGCTTTGGAAAGTTCCACACTAGAGAAGCCTGTTTACTTGGAGCAGGACTCCCTGTAACAGAGACCGTCCCTCTGGCCTGTTTGTAAGAGCTCTTCTCACCTCAGGTCGTGTGTTAGCCGTTTTTGCCAGAAAGGTCTTCCTTGTTGTTCAGTCGCTAGGTCATCTCCGACCCTCTTTGCGACCCCGTGGACTGCAGCCCGCCACCCTCAGAGACGGTCTTCCCTGGGTCGGGAAGATCCCCTGGAGGAGGGCCTGGCAACCCATTCCAGTGATCTTGCCTGGAGAATCCCACGGACAGAGGAGCCTGGTGGGCTACAGTCTGTGGAGTCTCAAAGAGTCGGACACAAGTGAAGTGAGTTAGCACGCATGCTAACAATAATAAACAGTAACTCCCCATTCCCCACTCTCTCCGCCACCATTCTCCTTTCTGTCTGTGAATCTGACTATTCTCGGAATGTCAGACGGGTGGGATCATGCAAATTTGTCCTTTCGCATCTGACTTACTTTCACTTGGCGTCATGTCTTCAAGGTTCATTCATGCTGTGACGGTGTGGTGTGTGGGCTTAGTTGCTCCCCAGCATGTGGGATCTTTTCCCAGATCAGGGATTGAATGCGTGTTTCCTGCCTGGGCAGGAGGATTTACCACTGATCCAGCTGGGAGGCCCTGCCCCGGCAAATTTGACAGTCAGCACTCCTCCTAGGTGGCCTACCTACCTAACAGGCAAGCCACTGAATTGCATGGGCATCTACCCTGTTTATCTTTCCCTCCAGAAGCCTGATAGAGGGCCTTGCTGATTCTGACAGAGTCAGTCCTGGTGTTCTGGTGAACCCGCTTGACACTCTTGTTTTAAAAGCAAATAAGCCTATGACCCAGCAGTTCTGCTCTGGGATATTGACCCAAGGGAAATGAAGGCATATGTCCATACAAAAACTTGTTCATAGCACCAAGAACTTCCAGGGGACTCATCTGTGAACTTTAGCATCTTGCACCGTGATCCTTCCAGCCAAGAAGGTGCTGGGAGTCCAGGGGGGCACAGAGCCGCCTGGAGGAGGTGGCATCTGCTGAGGAATGGAGGGCAGACAGTACTGTTGGAGATCAGAGGAAGGGGGCAGCTCCTTGGCTCGGGGGGACAGAAAAGGCCCCCGAGGAGGGCGGGGTGGGGTATGTTGTGGGTGGGAGGGATGGCATGAGCTGGCCACTATGGCTGGAACACAGCACGCTGGGCAGTACTAGGCTTCATCTCCAGCAAGACCACGTGGGCCTCAAAATACCACCAGCCCACACGGTTAGATTTCTGGATGCCCACAGGCTACGTTGCTTGGCTGGGGGTGTGGTGTGGTTCCCAACAATGGTGGTTTCTTTTGTGGAATTGAGGGTAGGCAGGACAGACTGTCAAGAAGTCTGGTTTTTTTGTTTGTTCATTCAAGTATTTAATTTTTTTAAACTGTGGTAAAATATACATAATGTTTACTGTCTTAACCATTTAAGTTTTGAGATCACCATATGTTCACATTCTTGTGTAACCATCACCACCTTCCATTTCCAGGACCTTTCCTCCTCCCAAATTGAAACTCTAAACCATGAAACAGTAACTCCCACCCCCTTCCCCCTGGTTGCTAGTAGCTACTCTAGGAATTCTGGAAATCTCATATAAGTGGAATTATGCAGGTTTGTCTTTTTGTGTCTGGCTTATTTCAGTCTTAGCATCATGTTCTCAAGTTTCTTCTGTGTTGTAGCATGTATTCAATTCAGTTGCTCAGTCATGTCCGACTCTTTTCAACCCCATGAACTGCAGCACCGCAGGCTTCCCTGTCCATCACCAACTCCTGGAGCTTGCTCAAACTCATGTGCATCGAGTTGGTGATGCCAGGTGATGCCATCCAACCATCTCATCCTCTGTTGCCCCCTTCTCCTCCTGCCTTCAATCTTTTCCAGCATCAGGGTCTTTTCCAAAGAGTCAGCTCTTTGCATCAGGTGACCAAAGTATTGGAGCTTCAGCTTCAACATCAGTCTTTCCAATGAATATTTAGGGTTGATTTCCTTAAGGATGGACTGGTTTGATCTCTGTGCAGTCCAAGGGACCCTCACGAATCTTCTCCAACACCACATTTCAAAAGCATTAATTCTTTTGCACTCAGCTTTCTTTATGGTCCACCTCTCATATCCATACATGACTACTGGAAAAATCATGGCTTTGACTGTACGGACCTTTGTCAGCAAAGTATAGAATTTCATTTTTAAAATAATTTTATTTATTTATTTTTGACCTCGCTAGTCTTTGTTGCTTCAAGGGCTTTCTCTAGTTGCAACACATGGGCTTCTCATCGCAGTGGCTTCTCTTGATGCAGAGCCCAGGCTCTTCGGTGCTCAGGCTTTAGTAGCTGCTGCCCATGGGCTCAGTAGTTGTGGCTCCGGGGCTTAATTACTCTGCATCATGTGAAATCTTCCTGGACCAGGGATCAAACTCATGTTCCCTGCATTGGCATGTGGATTCTCATCTACTTCACCGCCAGAGAAGACCAGAATTTCATTTTTGAAATGGAGAATAATATGCTATTGCATAAATATATAATGTCCCATTGTATGGATATACCTCATTTTGTTTACCTGTTCATCCATCAGGGGATTCTGGGGTTGTTCCCACCTTTGGACTGTTCTGAATGGATTTGATTTTAAAGCATGATGTTTATACTGTAGCAACAAGGGATCTCTGGGGAGTGGAGAATAGGATGGATTTGCTGGGAGAAGAGCCAGAGAGTCTGTGAGAAGCTCCATAACAGCCCAAGTGTGTAGAGAAGGATGCTGGGGGTGGGGCTGGGTGGAATGGCTGGGGCAGAACAGAGGGTGAGGAAGGCTCCCACGGGGCTGACCCAGGCTCTCAGGAGTATAGGGCAGGGCCAGGATCCCTGCCGTGGGGAGGCTGGGGTTGTTTCTGGTTGGGGGGCTGGGGGAACCATCAGCAGAAGTGCTGGCTCTGTGTCGAAACTTGGCCAGGAGTATTGTGCCAAGTCCCGGCTCACCTGTGACATCTGGGTGTGACCATTCAGACCTGGGGACTGGATATCTGTAAGCCGGAGGGCAAAACGCGAAACCAGAGTGCCAGGTCGAGAAAGCAGCTTCCAGAGACAGGAGGCCTGTGGATGAGAGGAGGGGTGGGTGGAAATGGGGTGATGGGGACCCCGGGACCGGTGACCAAGGAAGGACGCTTCCAGAGCCGTCAGTGTAGTAGAGTGGGTGCATAGGGTGCCTTGTGGCAGCCCTTCCGTTGTCCAGCGTTAGGAGGTTCTGTGGATGTTTGTTGACCAAAATGGGGAAAAATAAAGGTAAACAGGCATGTTTTTCATCCTAAGGAAACTTACAGCCTAGTTAAGGCATTAACAGATCTGAAAACACTCCTGGAGTGCAAGACCCACTTTGAGTCGGATCCTGCAGAGGGATGTTGAAGGAGAGGCAGGGGACCCTTCCAACGCAGTGACCCTGGTGAGCACTGCAAGGCAGGAGTTGTTTAAGTCATTTTTCAGTTAACTAAGGCCAAAAGCATTTCGCATTTGGTAGATTAACAAGTGTCTTTGGTCCTGGCCGTGGCCACCCCTCACCAGCATCCTGCATTTGACCCACAGGTATGACGCTGGAAGGGATGGCTTCATTGACCTGATGGAGCTGAAGCTGATGATGGAGAAGCTGGGGGCCCCCCAGACCCACCTGGGCCTGAAGAGCATGATCAAGGAGGTGGACGAGGACTTTGATGGCAAACTCAGCTTCCGTGAGGTACCTGGGTCCTGCTGGCCCTGAGCCCCTGGAGGGGGAGAGCCCCTGAGAGGACCCGCCAATTTACCATCCCCTGGACTACACAGTGGCTTGGGCCCCTCTAGAGAGCTGCTTGGATATTTAACCTGCAGTTCTGCTTTTTAACATATCTTTAAGGAGCTAGTGGACCACAGTGCTGGCATGAGAAAATGCTCAGCAAGCAGTTTGAAAATCACTTTGGGTAGGATAGCCTCCTTTGGGTAAAATGGTAAGTATTGAAGGGATGTTCACCAAAACATTCGTAGTGAATGTCTGTGGGTGTGAAGTTTTGGTGGGTTTTAGTTTTACACTTTAAAAATATATTAAAACTGTTAATTTTTATGTTGTTGTTGTTTAGTTGCTAAGTCCTGTCCGACTGTTTGCAAACCCATGGATTCTAGCCCATCATGCTCCTCTGTCCATGGGATTGCTCAGGCAAGAATGTTGAAATAAGTTGCCATTTCCTTCTCCAGGGGATCTTCCTGACCCAGGGATCATACCCTCATCTCCTGCTTCGAGGGTAGATTCTTTACCACTGAACCACCTAGAAAGCCCATTAATTTTTATAATAAGCATTTTAAAGTAGTTTTTTTTTTAAAGCAGTTATACAAAGGGTCTTACTCTCTGCCCCTGAACCTTCCCCTCCAAACAAGTCCAGGATAGGTTTTTGGTCTTTGAACCTCTGAAATTGTGGGTGAAATTGTGTACATACAGATATCTTCCTGGAAGAGTACATATAGATTCACCTGATCTCCCAATGGGTGAAAAACCTCAGCCATTTTTATTTTGGGGAATAAATCTCAAGGCCACTGGGTTTCTTCCACGGCAAGAATGCAGCTCCACAAGGAAGGGAATTGCATGTCTTGTGTGCTTGAGTTTTAGAATAACTTTGGCGACACCATCCAGGCTGAAGGTTTAGACATTAGCCCAGCTGCTGTGGTCTCGTTTTCAGTTGTGTCTCTTTTGGGACCCTTGGAAGCTGAAAGAAGAGAGGACAGCCCTTGTGGTCTTTAACCTTGATTATTCCAGAAACAGTGGAGTGCTGGCATCCTGGTTTCTGAGGGTTAGAACTTTGGCCAAAAACTGGTCTTCTGTCCAGGCTTGATAGGGCCTTTGGATGCTTTTCCTGGTGGGGTGGGGTGTGGGTTCTCTCTGAAGTTGAGTTTTCAGCCATGAGTCCCTTCCCCAGCTAACTGTGCCTCTCACTGCTCACAGATCAACTTCAGAATCTCCCATCTCTTCCTTTCCTCAACTGGCTGATGTGGAGATAGATCATGGAAAACCTGTGTTGGGTGTAACCCTCAGGATAATCTGCTGCCAGACTTCTCATTTCAGAGCTAAGGAGCTAGAAGACCGAAAAGGTCAGCACTTGCCTGAAATCAGGTCCCGGCTCAGGGCTGGGCCTGGGAGACAGCCTGCCACCATCATTTACCATGTTCAACTTTGCAGCTGCCTCTCTGATTCCCTTGCCTCTTATTTGTATTACTACAAATTAATAATAATAATAATAATAATAATAATAATAATAATATCAATCCTTTGTATTATTCACACATCATGCTAGGCATTAGCTCTTTCTTTCTGATGTCTCAAGTGGTAAATAATCAGCCTGAAGTGCAGGAGACGTGGGTTTGATCCCTGGGTTGGGAAGATACCCTGGAGGAGGAAATGGCAACCCACTCCAGGATTCTTTCCTGGGGAATCCCACCAGAGGAGCCTGGCAGGGTAGAGTCCACGGGGTCACAAAGAGCCGGACGTGACTGAGCACACATAACAACAACAATAATCTGGGAACCCCTGGGATATAGAAAGTAAAGGATTTTGCCTTGGTGAAGCTTTGGAGGCACTTCTGGGGAAAGAACTTTTGTGGCAAAGTTTTAACCTCAGGGGAATGGAAATCGAGGGTACTTAGACGTCTGTGCAAGTCGCTGATTGAAAATCCCTCCCCTGTTTTACCCAGGAGCCTCCCACATGTGCCCCTCTCTGTCTCCAAGATGCTCAGTTAGCCTTGGGTTAGCTGCTGGTTTGGCCATTTTGATCAGTGGCTTGGACATTTCCAGAGGGTTTCGTTGTGGGTACTCAACCCACCTACAGGCCTTCAGTGGTGTTCACGTTCAGTCCTTTGTCAATTCAGAGACCCACTGTGGCCCCATCTCTCGGACTCATGCCCAGAGGTACAGATTTGGAAGTGCGGGTGCGTTTGCCATTAATACCCCACAGCCCAACTTCCTGCTCTTAGGATTTCACTCTGCTGATATCCACCCATGTTGGAAGCCACCAGTGACTGATGCTGAGTGTGTGTGATGAAAAGAGGTGTACATTCCAACCTCCATCTTCCACACAGAGCAGCATAGCTGGAACACATTATTTCTCAGCCTCAGTTTTTATGTCCTTAAAATAGGGCTGTTAACAGCTTTTGCTCAGGACTGTTTTGAGGACAAAGTTCTCTTTCTATGCCTCTATCAGTTAGAATGCTTGACTGTCAGTGATGGAAACTAATTAGTCATGCTAACTAATTTAAACAAGGAAAGAACAAGCGACTCTTGGTTCACATACCTAGGAGATGAAGAAGTGAAAGTGTTTTAGACACAAGTAATCAGGGATTTTCTCTTGCTGTATCTTGACTGTGCTTTTTTCTACATCCTTTCTTTCCAAATAGGGTGTTGTCCCTGGTGCCTGCCAAGATGGTTCCTGGCAGCTCCAGGCTACACTGCCCTACGGGATGGAGAGCTACTTCATCCCAGAATCCATAGCAGTCTCAGAAGAAGGCTTCTGATTGGCCCTCAGAGGGGTATATGCCCACCTCCTGGGCCAATCATTGCATCCACGATACTGTGATTGGTTAGATCCAGGTCATGTGCCACAAGGCATCATAGTCAACAGCTCCACCACCATCACCACATGGCAGGAGCTGCTAGATAGACAAAATGGCTCATTTCTATAGTGCCTTCCTGACCTGACACTTAGTAGATGCTTGGTGAGTTTATATTCCCTTTATTTTTCTTTGAATTAACTTGACTGAAGTGAGTTACATCCAAAGAACAGCCCTTTGATACAGAAAATATGTCTCTATTAAGCACTAGTTTGCTACTTTCCCCCAACGTTCAAGGGAATTGATCTTTCTTTTAAACCATTTCTTTTCCAATTATGAAAATAATATGTGCACATCTGGGGTATTTAACAAAATGGCACACACGGAGCCTTTAAAAACGATGATCTAGCACAGTGTTTGATGACCAAAGGACAAATGTTGACAGTGTGAGAAGCAGGAACAAAAGCAGATTTCCAAACTGTGTGTAAAAGATAATTGTTTGCCTTTATAGTTTATGTACATGTACAGACAGGTAGGAGAAGTCACAGGATGCACTGGAGTTAGCAGTTCTATCTCCATAGCTCTAGGGATCTAGAATTGGATTCCAGGCACTCCCCACCTCAGTCTCCTTTGGAGGCAGACAGAGAGCCCTTAATATCTTCCTCCCTTTTGCTTGTAGTCCTTACTAATTCCATTACATCTGTCTCAAAGAATTTCTCTAAGACTACAAAGGCTGGATAAGGGGTTTACTAGATTACTTGTCAGTTCTGGGAACTGGGTGGCTTCCCAGATGGTGCAGTGGTAAAGAATCCACCTGCCAGTGTAGGAGACCCAGGTGGGAATTCCCCTGGAGGAGGGAATGGCAACCCACTCCAGTATTCTTGCCGGGAAAATCCCATGGACGGGGGAGCCTGGCAGGTTACAGTCCATAGGGTCTCAAAGAGTCAGCCACAACTGATCACACATGCACATGCATGCACTGCGTACACTGGAAACTGTAAGTCTTCTTTTCTCCTCCCACCCTACCCTCCCTAAGAGGGTCCATGGCAGCCCTGGCTGTCCTGGGTTGCTGCCCTGTCTGTTTATGGTTGATTGGACCGTGGGTGGACGCCTGGCCAGACTAGGTCAATTGGATTCTGGATCTGGGAATTTGGGGCTGAGGTACAGCACAGTGGCTCTGCAGGTGGCCATTCCTGCAAGGATAATTCAGTGTGGGGTGGCCGTTTTCTACCATGTGGTCCAGACACGAGAGCTCGAGAGAGAATGTGGCCTCCCTGTCTTGAACACATTAGCTCTCCCCATTCCAATCTTCATCCAGGCCACTGTATTTTGCCCTTGGCTTTTGAGATAGCCTATTTGTATAATGAATACCTCCTTTTTGCTTAAGCCAACAAGTGTGTTTCTGTCACTCGCCACCTAAGAGCTCTAACTAATGTGGGAAAGTGTTTGCATCACCAATCAGAGCCACGGAGTTAAAAATTCCCTTAAATTCTTCACAAGCATTTGCTAGCTCATGTCTGAAACTGCTTTTGAGCTTTGTGAGTTCTCTCTGTTTCTTTGTTTTCTGCTTCTCCTTCCCTCCCCCCTCTTTGCTCAGAGTCACAGCTAGGACACTTTCCAATTCTCTACAACATACCAGGCTTTGTGGACTATAAATAGGAAGACAAAGAAGGCCGGGCAGTTGGAGAAATTGTCACTCAAGGGTTGGTGATTGTGATACATGAAATGGGAAAGTCTGGCATGCTTTATGGAAGGCTGGAGATTTTCGAGTTGAGCTGGATCTTTTTTCTTTAACTGGCTGGGGCAGGGAGGCCCTAAGTTACGACAGGGCTGCTGGTGGTCACCTGTGAGCTGGGAGAGTTAAGAGTGAGCACACGTGGCTGGGATCCACTCAGAGGAAAGGACTGTTGAGGAACTTTAAGCCCTCTCTTGTTGCTGTTGTTCAGTCATTCAGTTAAGTCTGACTCTGCGATCCCATGGACCCTAGCCCGCTAAGCTCCTCTGTCCCTGGGAATTTCCAAGCAAGAATATTGGAGTGGGTTGCCATTTCTTGCTCCAGAGGATCTTCCCAAACCCTTCTGTAAACACCAACATGGTCATCTCTGCTGCAGAGTAAGAAAAGTGAGTTTCAGAGGAGAGACTCCCCAGCCCCAGGTCACTAGGATTGGTGCTAGGCTGGGGGCGGTGCTCTGTCTCTCCTAAGCTGCCTCCCTGGGAGGGAGAGACGACCTGTTTCGCGCCTGCCTCATGGAGAACTGGGGAGGAGGGTGGCTTCTGTAACTAACTGCGTTAAGGATGCCTAGGTGACCGAGAGACGGTTGGGTGTTTTACTCTTTCCCTCTGTCTGAGGCTCACGTGTGCAGGGCTCTTCAGTCTGCTCCATGAGAGCCCGCTCACCACCATCCCCCAGCCCCCTTGTCCCCCATCCTCTTCTTGGGGGAACCTCTCCTCTTTCAACAGGCTTGACTTCCACGTCTTCTTTGGAGCCCGTGTTCTGGCTCTGAGAGTCTGCCGCAAACTGAGTCTTTGCCGGCCTCTAGTGAGAGAATTTGAAGCTGCAGGTGGGTGACCGTGGCATTTCTGTAGAGCCAAGCTGACCACGGTGGCAGCCTCCTCCATGAAGCTGAAAGTCCTGCAACATCTTGCTTCACCGGTTGCTTTGTTTTTGGCGAAGTCCACAGTGGAGTTAGGACCCTCAAAGCAAGAATGACAAAGAAGGACTTGTTGGCAAGGCGTTTTGGGGTGGTGATGGTGGGAGCTCGGACTTTCACTTAATGAAACAGGCTTCCCTCTAGGCGGTAAGAGACACTCAAGTTGGAATTTGGAAAAAGCACATTGAGGTCGTCTTACCTCTTACTCTGCTTTAGAAAATGCTCTTTCCTCTTGGGGAAGACAATCTTTAGAGGAAAATTGAAATTTCCCTTTAGGCATACATATTGTGTGTGTGTGCGCGCGTGCACTCTCAGATGCTGTCGTGTCTGACTCTTTGCAACTCCATGGACTGTAGCCCACCAGGCTCCTCTATCCATGGATTTCTCCAGGCAAGAATACTGGAGTCAGTTGCCATTTCCTCCTCCAGGGCATTTTCCCAACCCAGGGATTGAACCCACGTCTCCTGCATTGGCAGGGTGATTCTTTACCACTGAGCCACCTGAGAAGATCTGTTCTTTACAGATGGATAAATTATGGAAGTTGGATAGAAGCTGTTTGACAAATAAATTCACAAAAAAATTTTAAAGTAAAAAAAGCCATAAAACTGCCTTGGGGGTGATGAAAGGACATGCAAGGGGTGAGATAGAGCAAGGATGCTCTTTCAGGTTGACCTATTTGTTTATTTAAAAATGTATTCTCCAGAGTATTGTATGTACTGTGTTCTCTTAGTAGAGACTGACTTTAAAGACAGATTCATTCAGGTCACATTCTGAATCTTTAGGAAGACGATGGATTATTCAATAAGTGGTGTGGGGATTACTGACTAACCATGTGGAAGAAAATAAGGTTAATGATCAACTTCACATGACAGATCAGAATAAATTTCAGAGATTAAATATTTACATGTTTTTTTTTTTTGAAAGAGTCCTAAAACCTGTAGACAAAAACACAGGTGATTGTTTCTGTAACCTTGGTAGCAAGGAAGGATTTTCTAAGCATAACACTGGTGAGAGAAAATCAAAGATTGATAGCTTTTGAAAAAAATTTTCACCATAAACAAAATTGAAAGGCAAATGACAGAGCTAAAGTAGAAAACACCAAGAATGGTAAATAATTTAACATCAAAATGGGACACAAATGGGAAGTAGGAATGGTTTTTGAAAATGTCAGAAATATTAAGTTATTTAGTTTCAAAGTAGTGCATACTGGTCTACTGGACTTTTTCTTTCATGGCCGTTAAGTAGGATGTTGCCAATTCTTTGCTTTTATGGATAGTGCTTCTTCTTAAACCATTTTATTTAATGTTTTTATGCGATATAACATTTATGTGCATGTTTTAAGGGATGGATTCCAAGCAGTGGAATTAATGATTGGAAGGGTGAAAGCATTTTATTTTTGGTAAATATTTCCAAAACGCCCTCCAAAAATTTTGATTCAGGTTACACTCTCATCAACATGAGGGAGCCCCTTCCCCTACATCCTTGTGGGAAGATGGGCCCTTTTTTAAAAAAAAAAAAAATTATATGTTTGTTTGTTTATTGGCTGCAGTGCGTCTTCATTGCTGCACGTGGGTTTTCTCTAATGTGGCCGGCGGGGGCCACTCTTTGTTGCTGTGCGCGGGCTTCTCGTTGCCGTGGCTTCTTTTGCTGTGAAACATGGGCTCTAGGGCGAGCAGGCTTCAGCAGTCGTAACTCCCCGCTCTTAGAGCACAGGCTCAGTACTTGTGGGCCTAGTTGCTCCTTGGCACGTGGCATCTTTCCAGACCAGGATCAAGTCGGTGTCCCTTGCATCACAAGGCGGAGGCTCAACCACTGGACCACCAGGGAAACCCGTTGGTTTGTTTTTTTGACTGTGTCTCGAGGCATATGGGATCTCAGTTTTCCCGACCAGGGATCGAAGCCACATCCCCTGCAGTGGAAGCACAGAGTCTTAACCACTGGACTTCCAGGGAATTTCCCCATGTTTTCAGTGTTGACAGTGTGATAAGGGAAAAAAATAACTTGTCACATGGACACGTGGACACCGTTTGTAATAGGCGTGGCTGTAATGACTGCAGCTCGGGTCAGAGGGGACTATTATAAATCTCTTGGTGATGTTGACTTTGACCCTTACCAACCTTCCCCCGCAGTTCCTGCTCATATTCCACAAGGCCGCCGTAGGAGAACTGCAGGAGGACAGCGGGCTGATGGCACTGGCGAAGCTTTCTGAGATCGATGTTGCCCTGGAGGGCGTCAAAGGTGCCAAGGACTTCTTTGAAGCCAAGGTAGGTGTCTCCTTCCTGCGTGGCACAGTCCCTCTGTCCCTGCAGCATGCCCAGCCGAGCTCCCAGCCGGCGACCAGCTCATCAGCTCCCCCAGGACAGGGAAATGGCGATTGCTTGAGCATGTGAGATTGTAGGGAAAGGACAGTGTGTGTCTGTGTGCCATCTGACAATTAAAAACGAATGGGAAAATGGCCAAATGGCAAATGCATTGGATCCTGGTTTCAGATTTTTTTTAAAATTTTTGGCTGTGCTGGGTCTTCATCATGCCTCGGGCTTTTCTCTAGTTGTGGTATGCAGGTTCTCACTGCGGTGCCTTCTCTTGTGAGGAGCACAGGCTCTAGGGCACTCGGGTTTCAGGAGCTGTAGCATGTGGCCTCAGTAGTTGTGGCTCCCAGGTTTTCTAAAGCACAGGCTCAATAGTTGTGGTGCATGAGCTTAATTGCTCGGCAGCACGTGGGATCTTCCCAGACCAGGGATCGAACCCATGTCTCCTGCATCGGCAGGCAGATTCTTTACCACTGAGCCACCAGGGAGGCCCCTGATATCAGATTCAAACAGGCTTGCGGGTGCAATGGTCCCAGACGACTCTGTAGCCAGACTTTCCTAGAGAATTCCGCTCTACCCCAAACCACACGAGTTATTTGAATGGCTGCCTCCATGTTTGCACCTTAGACACCTGTGTGTAAACAAGTGACTAACGGGCCCCGAGGAGGCTGCCTCGTTGGCTTGCTCTGGATCAGAATTGTTATGTGCAGCATTGACGATGCCAGGGAGCCGGGAAGGATTCTGCAGTGCGGGGTCTTGGAGCCCTTCTGGGTGCTTCTGTTCATTCATGAGTTCATATGGTCATTGAATGTTTCTGGAGATTTCATCTCAGTCTGGCAGAAAGAGAGATCAGGAACACTCCAATTTCCCTCTGCAATTGAGGGTGGGGGTGGGGGGTGGGGTGGGGGGGACGGGTGGGAGGGGTGCCGTGGATAAGACCGCCTGGGTTCACCTTCTGCCTCCTCCACTTACCTGTCACCTCGGTGCCTCCGTTTCCTCATCTGTACCATGGAGTTGATAATGAGATCGGCACGAGGATGAAATGCTTTCTTGCGTCTGAAGCATTTAGCAAGTGCCTGGCTCACTGAGCTCACTCTGTACGTGATATGAGTTGCTGGGACTCCCTACAGCTCCAGCCAGGGGCCAGCCCCTTGTGGTGGTTGCTTAGTCTTCCTGATCCAGGGACCAAACTCACATCTACTGCACTGGCAGGCAGACTCTTGACCACTGAGCCACCATGGAAGCCCCACCTCTCGTGGAACTTTGGCTTATCCCAGGAGTTTCTTTGCCCAGAAACAGAGTGTCCTGGGTGACACAGCCCAGCCTGTTCAGGCCTCAAAGCCCAGCACTCTCTCTCCACAGCTCTGTGATGCTGCGTGGAGACAAGAGTCCAGCATCTTTCTGCCAGGCAGACCCTTATCCATCGCGCCACCAAGGAAGTCCCTGCCTCAAGGATTTTATCCTTCAGAGACACTCGTGCCAATGTACATAGATGTATAGACAAAGCTTTTCATACATTGAGGTTGGTAATGGAGGAGAACTGAATGTAACAGAAATGTCTGTGACCCACGAATTGAGTCCACTGTGGTTCACCCACCCATTTACACATACGATAGCTCTTGAAGAAGGAGATGCAGCTGCATTTACGTTTGATGGTTGTTCAGTCCCTCAGTCATGTCTGACTCTTTGCGACCCCAGGGACTGCAGCACGCCAGGATTCCCTGTCCTTCACCATCTCCTGGAAGTTGCTCAAACTCATGTCCATTGAGTCGGTGATGCCATCCAACCATCCCGTCCTCTGTCATCCCCTTATGTGTGGACAGATGTCCAAAATGAATTAGGCAAAACAGTATGCTTGAAACCCAGTTTTGTGAAATAGTAAATACAACCTGGATGGCTTTGTACCAAAGTATTAGTAATAGTGATGTCAGAGGGACTGACTTTTTAAAATAATTTTGTGAGGCTTTATGATGTGTGTGCATTATTTTTACAACCAGGAGAAAAGATGAAAAGAATAACAATAAAATTTTTTGAACGTGCTCTGTTTATACGTCTGCCTCCTCACCCACAGACTCAAAGGCAGGGTAGGTGTGTTGCCTGTGTAATTACAGTGCCTGGCTAATAATGGCCCTCAAGAAGTGTTGGCATGAATGATGAATGGAGGAAATCATCGCCCGAATTTGGGAGAAGGCCATAAAGGAGCTGACATTCGCGACAGATGCTAAAAGATGAATGGGGATTCACCTTGTAATCAGGGAGGAGAAGGCGTTCTGCCGTGGGAACTCTGGGAGCAAAGGCTCTGAGGCGTGGGGCGGGGAGGGGCAGGGAGTGCTTGGAGGCTGGCCCCTGTCTGTACTCGACACAGCTGGACAGGAAGCTCTGGGCTCCCCTGAGGGTCAGGCTTTCCCCCGCCTGTGGATCACAAGAATTATCTGCTGACCAGCTTCCCAGGCCTCTCCCAACTCTCCCCGGGCTCTGCGGGAGGATTCGGTGCATGGCCAATCTTGGAGAGCAGGGTCTTGCTCTGATCAGCTTTGGGTACAATGGGGACAGACTTGCCTGGGGAGAGACTGGACTCAGGGAGGCTCCGTAGCCGCTTGGAGAAGAACTCCAATGAGGAGTGTGACAGTGGGCTGGGAAGGAGGTGGAGATGAATCCCAAACCCTCCAGAGCTCTCACTGTTGGGCCTTCCCTGGTGGGCCTGTGGTTAAGCCTCTCTGCTCCCAGTGCAGGGGGCATGGGTTGGATCCCTGGTCAGGGAACTAAGATCCTGCATGCTGCACACTGCAGCAAAAAAAGAACCCCAAAACTCTGTGTTCACGACCATGTGATTGGAGGTGGAAAGTAAAAAGCGACAAGATTATTGGAGCTGTGGCGCCAGGGGTTGGTGATACTAAGAAAAATCAAAACAGGACCTCTGTCCCTGAATGTAAATGGCTGATGGAGGAAAAGTAATAACATGGGTTTTACTGTTAAGTCCGAGGTGACTTCAGGCAAGGGAAAGACCTGCCCCTTTATCTGAAGGCACACTGTTGTTTGCTACTAGCTTTTGCTCAGTCCTGTTGGACAGAACTTAGCCACACCCCGTTAAATGGGAGACTACAGAATGCCTTTTTTTTTTTTCTTTCCTGGAGATCCTTGTGCCTAGCTGCAATTCTGCTATTGAGGAAGACAGGCATACTAGATACTATAGTCATGGAATAATCTCTTCCACACTTGTCCATTCCTAAACTGACTCCTGACAAGGGCCGCAATATTGTTACTTTGATGGGCTCCTCTCCTTGAGCCCAGGGGTGAGGCCAGTCTTCCCTAGGCCCTTGGGCCATGTGCTAGGGAAGCATCTCATAGAAAGAAAGTGGGGGGCAGGGGAGGATGGATGTTTCATGGACAACCAGCCGCACAGACCACAGGCGCTAGCTTCACGGGATACAAGCTGAAACCTGAAACTAGAGGGAACTGACCAAGGGCAGAACATCATGGCGACTAGAGTGGGAAAAGAAATAATCAGAGATACAAGGAAACTCTGGAGAAATGCTGGTATGGAAAACAGGAGCAATTTCAAGAGGAGATTGAATCAGATGAGGTTGGGGCAGAGGTGTTGGGTCTAGCAAATGGGTCAGTGGAGAATTTTGAGAGATGAGGTTCACTGTGGAGAGAGGGCAGATTGTAATAGGGTAAGGGGTAGGTGGGAACTGGGGGAAAGGGCCCTGATAGCTGGCTTTTTTGTCTAGAAGGTTGGCAGAGGAGGCCTCGACAAAGTGGGGATGGTAGCTTAGGATCAGGAAAGAAATTTTTTTTTTTTTAGCCTAGAGAAGATAGATGTCGGCATGTTTCTAGGTCACAAGGAAGTGATCCAGGGAGAGGAAAGCATAAAGAGTGGAATGATTGACGGGACAAGTACCTGGAGATCATAGAATGGAGAGGAGAGGTGGACTTTTATAGTGGAGGAGAAGGACCTCAAGTAATTGCACAGGTCCCCAACCTTCCTCTGACCTGGCCAGGAATGGGCAGGTGGGGTGGTTAGCAAGCGTGTGAGTGTTGATGGACCCTCTGCTGACCACTTCAGGTTCACACAATCTAATCTTCATACAAGCTCTCTGCAGGTGGGTGTTATTGACCCACTTTGCAGATGAGGAGACTGAGGCTTAGACAGTGGTTTGTTGAACAGTGTTTAACAACTGGCTCTTTGGACAAAGTGTGTATTTTATATATATATATATAAATTATATATATATACATATATATAAAATACACACACACACACACACACACACATATATATGGCTTCCCTGATAGCTCTGTTGGTAACGAATCCGCCTGCAATTCAGGAAACCCTGGCTTGATTCCTGGGTCAGGAAGATCTGCTGGAGAAGGGAGAGGCTGCCCGCTCCAGTATTCTTGGGCTTCCCTGGTGACTCAGCTGGTAAAGAATCTGCCTGCAGTGCTGGAGACCTGGATTCACTCCCTGGGTTGGGAAGATTCCCTGGAGAAGGGAACTTATATATATATATAAGTTCTTATATATAAGTGCATATATATATTATTATATATTTTGATGATAAAAAGGATACTTAACATGCAATGTTCAAATAATAATATACACTATTTTTATTGTAGATTTCATATAGTCTATTTTTTTAAAATGGCGATCGTTTAGTTGCTAAGTCGTGTCCGACTCTTGTGACCGCATGGACTGGGAACCTACCAGGCTTCTCTGTCCATGGGATTCTCTAGGCAAGAATCTTGGAGTGGGTTGCCATTTCCTTCTCCAGGGGATCTTCCCAACCCAGGAATCGAACCCAGGTCTCCTGAATTGCAGGCAGATTCTTTACTGACTGAGCTACAAGGGAAGTCTGAAGAGCAAAGTATTTTAAAAATACTTTTTAAATTTATTGTGTTGTACCGGGTCTTCATTGTGGCATGGAAACTCTTAGTTGCAGAATGTGGGATCTATTTCCCTGACCAGGGATTGAACTCTGAGCACTGGGAGTTCAGAGACTTAGTCACTGGGCTATCAGGGAAGTCCCCTTTACAGGCTATTGATTCTTAAAGAATAACTCCTTGATTTTTGCTGGACTCTTATGTCTGTAGGCAGTCTATGATTGCAACTGACAAAGGAATGTAGTTCCGACATGCGTGTTGGTTAGTATTTTGTTTAATTTGTAAGAAAAAAGTGAAAAGACATGTGTCAGAACTTCATTCATTCCTCAATGATGTGAGCAACATCTTTGCTGAATTCGATAGTAGTTTTTAAATATTGGGAGAACAGTCTTTCCATTTTGGAGCTATTTATAATGTGAAGGCTGCAGACACTACACATGTTTACATTTAATCCACATTTTTGACATTTTTCCATCACTTTCTTAAGAAAAGATTGTCTAGACAGTCACTGAAACAATAATCAAACCCTTGTTTGTGGCATTGTTCTTCCAAGGTGTGAATACCCCTCTTGAGATTGCTTTCGAGCTACCAACAGGATGCCTTTGAACATGGAGTTGGGACAATTCATGGTACCAGGTCATCATACATGATTTCCACCTTATTGATGTGACAGACGTAGATAACCTTGAGGACACAGATAGTAGTAAAATGTAGCACCATCACCAGAAAATGGTGACTTTTAAGTATGCATTACCTTTGCTTGTAATATAATTTTATTGTGAAAGTATATAAATCTAATTTTTAACAATGGCTATATTTAGCAACCAGCTCATAAAATTCCTGAAAATCAAACAATTGGCTTGCAAGCAGGTAGTAGCCGGTACTCCTCTGGTCCCAGAGAGGTTAAATGAAGCGCCCAGGATCTGCTTCCTGCCCACCCTCAAACACAGGGAAAGGGGGAGAGGAGTCCAGAGTGGACAGACCAAATTCCTCTGTGTTTTCTAAACAAGGGGGGAGGAGATGGACCATAGAGTGGAAGGGTCCCTGAAGACTGCGGTCATCTGGATGACCACTGTGGGGAAAGAGCTGGGAGGAGGGCAGAGCCTCAGTGAAGCACCAGCCCAAACTGGAAATCCTCACTCCCAGTGGGTCCTGGTGAGGCTTCTAAGAAAAACACGTTCTCAGCCCACAAGCAGACAAAGTCCTTGGCCCAAGGGTGGCCGAAGTGTCTGGCAGAAGTGCAGATCCTGGCAGTCGGAGGTTATGTGACAGTTGCTGCTGTGAAGATTGTTCAGGCATCTGTTCTGGGTTAGAAAGTGAATAAAGGCGAGGCCCACATTAGGAAATAGGAGCTTGAACCCAGGTTGCAGGATTCTACAACCATTAGGGATACTTGGGGGAGGGGCTGGGTAGACGACAGTAAACTCCAACTTGGACATCTTGCCATAATTAAGAAAGAGCAGTCTCTGAGGACTCTGACATAGGGAGCCAGGGGTGAGAACTGCTGGGTCAGAGCAGGACCCCAAGGGCCTGAGAAATACCTGGGGGGAAGTTTGGAAAACATAATTTCCTTGACCCTATCCCTAGGGAGTTGGATCCAGAAAGAGTAAAAACATAATACATATTGCCAATTGATAATTTCATTGGTATTTTGTCTTCAGAAATGGACCCTTGTGAAGTAAGTACAGGGAGGATTTGAAAAGGATATTATAATTTTTCATTGAAATATGAGATTTTGTACTGGGCTACCATGGATATGGTTTTCCCAGGTGGCACAGCAGTAAAGAATCTGCCTGCCAGTGAAGGAGATGCGGATTTGATCCCTGGATTGGGAGGATCCCCTGGAGAAAGAAACGGCAACTCACTCCAGTATTCTAGCCTGGGAAATTCCATGGATAGAAGAGCCTGGTGGGGCAACAGTCCATGGGGTTGCAAAGAGTCGGACTTAGGGACTAAACAACAACCATGGATGTAATGAAATGAAAATAAGAATGGACTAAATAAAAAGCATTGTAGGGAATGGTAACTCTTAGCTGCAGCACTGCAGAGAATTGAATGAGTGGACCAGGGGATAGACTGATGAGACAAGGGAGCTGCTGCAGATGCTCAGTCGCTTCAGTCGTGTCCGACTCTGTGCGACCCCATAAACGGCAGCCCACCAGGCTCCCCCGTCCCTGGGATTCTCCAGGCAAGAACACTGGAGTGGGTTGCCATTTTCTTCTCCAATGCATGAAAGTGAAAAGTGAAAGTGAAGTTGCTCAGCCGTGTCCTACTCTTAGCGGTCCCGTAGACTACAGCCTACCAGGCTCCTCGGTCCATGGGATTTTCCAGGCAAGAGTACTGGAGTGGGTTGCCATTGCCTTCTCCAGACAAGGGAGCTAGTGACAGAGAAATCAAGGAGATGATGCCCACAGGTAGAAATAATGAGAGATGATGATACATCAATTTAAAACCATTAAAGGCTCCATAAAGAAACTCATAGATACAGAAATCAGATTTGGTAACTAGAGGGGAAGGAAGTTGGGGGACAGATGGGAGAAATGGATGAAGAGAGTCAACTACGTGGTGATGGTGGTAATGAGACTCATGGTGGTGATCACTTTGTAGGGTATACAGATGTTGAACTATAATGCTGTGTACCTGAAACTTACATAAAAGGTTATATCACATTCATTCTCTAAAGCCATTATGAATCTGATTACAAAATCAGATAAAAATATCCATCTAATAAATATCGCTGTAAGAATCCTAAAACATTAAGAAATGGAATGCAATTATAATATTTGAAATTTATGTTAAGATGGCAGGGATAATTTTTAAAATATGCTCATATCATAGGTAGGTTAAATTAGAAGAATGTGACCATCGCCATCAGATGTCTCAAGGGCATTTGGTGAAGTTTAAGCACATTCATAATCACACATTTGAAAATAAGAAAATATGCTTCTTCAGCATAAGAAAATATTTACTTTCTTTATAAATATTAAGGCATTCTATAAGGCAGTAATATTAACTAATGTAGTACAAGTGCAGGAATAAACAAACCAGTTAGTGGGGTGGGGTAGAAAATAATAAAAACAAATCTCCTTCATGTGGGAATTTAGTATATGGAAAAGATAATTTTCAAATCAGTGTGAAAATAATGGGCTATTCAGTAACAGGTGTTGAGACAATTGGCTGTCCACTTGGGAAAATGAAGTAAATCCCTCCACTAGGCTCCCTCATCAAAATAAATTGCAGGGGACTTAAAGAGCCAAACGGGAAAATGAAAACATAAAAGTATGAGAAGAAATTACAGGAAAATGGGTTTAGAACCAGGGTGGCACAGAAGAACTTCTTAAACACGATATAAATTACAAAAGCTGGAAAGGAAATAAGTGAACTTTTTGATGACATCAAAATTTAAATGTTTGTATGACCTAAGGTACCTTGAAGTAAAAAGACAAACAAAAGACTGGAGGAAATTAACTGAAAAATATATATCTAAATTATGTAAAGAATTGCAAATTAAAGGGAAAAAAACACTAGCTGCATAGAAAAATGGGCAAAGAATATAAATGGGTAGTTTATCCAGAAAAGAAAGAAAGAAGGAAAGTGAAGTCGCTCAGTTGTGTTGGACTCTTTGCGACCCCATGGACTGTAGCCTACAAGGCTCCTCCATCCATGGAATTTTCCAGGCAAGAATACTGGAGTGGGTTGCCATTTCCTTCTCCAGTTTATCAAAGAAGAAATAAAAGAAGGTGCCAGTTTTTCTTCCACATCAGATTGGCAAACAGGAAAAAGGTTAATGATAAGCATTGGTAAGGTTATGGGGAAAGAAGCCTTGCATTTCATGATGGTGGGGTACAGATTGGAGCAGCTCTTTGGAGGGCGACCTAGCAGTTTTTATTAAAAATAGTGTACACCTAAAGATGGGGTGTTCCTGGTGGCTCAGGGGTAAAGAATCTGCCTGCCAATGCAGAAGATAAGGGTTTGATCCCTGGGTGGGGAAGATCCCCTGGAGAAGGAAATAGCAACCCATTCCAGTGTTCTTGGCTGGAAATCCCATGGACAAAGGAGCCTGGCGGGCTACAGTCCATGGAGTCACAGAGTCAGACATGACTTAGCGACCAAACACCACCACCTAAAAATATCCCTTTGCTGCAGGCAGATTGATGCAATCCCAGTCAAAATGCCCACAGGGAGCTCATTTTGTTCTTGACTTCCCCTAGAACTAAAGTATACCATTGTGAAATTAAAGGTGGAAAGTAAGTAGAAGTGGGCAATAGAAGTGGGCGTGGATATGAACAGTATCCAGGGACTTCCTTGGTGGTCCAGTGGCTAAGACCCCACGCAGGGGGCGCAGATTCGAACCCAGAGGAGGGAACTAGATCCCACATGCTGCAGCTAAAGACCCAGTATAGCTAAATAAATAAATATTAATTTTAAAAAGTATCCTGAAAAAGCTAAAAAAAAAAAAAGAAAAAGCTCAGGTGGAATAGGCAACCCCAACAGATTGGAAGGAGCATGTGTAACACAGAAGCAAGTAAATGACGATATCCTCGCTGTTAGAAAGCAAACACGGGAAGACCGCGGGCAGGGAGCATTGGTTCAGGGGTCCTGCCTGCAGCGGGGCTGGAGTCCCGGGCCATGTGGCTGGAGACGGCCGAGTTCTGTTTGGTGGGCTGCTCCCGCTCCAGGCGTCTCTTTCGTCTCTCACTGTTGATCTGCCCTCACTGTTTTTCTGCAGGTCCAAGCCTTGTCCTGTGCCAGCAGGTTTGAAGCGGAGCTAAAAGCAGAGCAAGATGAACGGAAGCGGGAGGAAGAGAAGAGGAAGGTCCGCCAAGCAGCCTTCCAGGAACTCAAGGCCGCTTTCAGTGCTTAGTGGGGCTGACCCTGACCTCTGAGCACCGCTGTGCCTCACAGATGCTCCGGGGAGAGCTGGCCAGGCACCCTCACCCCTGCTGACCCTTCGCCCCAACCAGCCTCCACACCCAGCACCCAGTGCACACTCCTTGGCCTCGTGGGGTGGCGGGGGCGGCTCTCATATCCATTTGGGAACCCCTCGCAGAAGGTCCCACTGCCCCCTCGAGTCTCTCTCCTGCGTGCCTTCCTCCACCCTTCTCTGTAGCCTGAACGTGCCTCCACTTGGCAACCTCTGCTTGTTCCTGTCTCTTTTCCCCTCCCCAACAAAGAGTGGTCTGCTGTGTTAATTCGTGCAGATACTGCTTTCCTTGGTGGTTCTCAGAGGAGAAAGTCGCTGGAGGCCAGTGATGTCAACAACATCCATTTCCCTGGGTCATCCTTTTCTGTGTCTCTCCTTATTCTTTCCCATCCAGCCTCCTTGTTCTCATTCTTCGCCTGATCCTGCCAGATGCCCCTGCATCTTCTGTCCTTTGGTGATGGTGAGGTTTAAGGCAGGCCAGGCTGGACCACAGCCTGGTCCCTGTCCAACAGTGGGCCACAGCATGCTGCTGAGGGTGACAGGAAAGAGTGAAGAGACGGGGGATTCTGGTCCTCCCCATCGCCTTTCTCCTGTCCTTAGCGTTCCTCTTAGGTTCCTCCCTTCTCCTTCCCCGCTGCACTTCTCAGCCTTTCCCCCTTCTCCTAAATACTGTGCTACTTAACCGTAAGAATGAGAGAATGATTATAAATAATATTAATGAGTAGAAGAATTCTTATTAATTCTGACTCGATGGAAATTATATTATAGTAGACCCTTGCCGTCACCGAGTAACAAATCCAGAGTCTTTCAGAATCTGAAAAGTTATGACCATCTTCACCATCTAGCCAGTTCCCAACATCTGCTCTAAGGTGTTCAAAATGAAGCTGTTCTTCAGAACAAATTTGTACATGTTATGAGTTCTTGGGATTGCTCCCAGATATCAGGGGTTTGTTGTACTTGATAAAATAATTTCTAACGTCATATTTATTTCTTCCCCTTTTTAACTGCTGTCTTTACAATGAAGAAAACATCTGCATTTTTACCTTATAGCTATTCTTTTTAAATAAACGGTGCAAGTGGGCTTAGCCATCACATCCGCATGCCTCTTGTCTTCTTTGAATTGGAGGAGAGGGGAGGATGTTTTCTGTGCGGGCCACTTCCAGCCCAGGCTCCTGTTTAACACGGAGTCCCTGAAGTAGAGTTAGAAGTGGTCACTGTGGGACTTCGCTGGTGCCTCAAAGGTAAAGAATCCACCTGGCAAATGCAGGAGACATGGGTTCGATCCCTGATCCAGGAGGGAGCTAAGCTCCCTGGAGCATCTAAGCTCATGCGCCACAACTACTGAGCGTGTGCTCTAGAACCCCGGAGCTGGAGAGCCCGTGGTCTGCAACAAGAGAAGCCACTGCAGCGAGAACCCCATGCACCCCAACTAGAGAGGAGCCCCCTGCTCGCCGCCACGAGAGAAAAGCATGTGCAGCAGCGAAGACCCAGCACACCCAAAAATAAATAAATTAAAAACAAACAAACAAAAAAGTGAAAACTAGAAGTTTGGTTTTCCCTCCAGGGCATTCTGAGTAGGAAGGTTGTCTGTCCACTGCCCTTCCCTTTCCCATCACTGAGGATTCTTTCAGCTGCAGATGAAATCTATACCTTAATTTCTCTTGCTTCTTAGACCCCCTGAAACTCTGATGAGGGCCAGTGACCCCTTGCTCCCATGTGTAATTCCACGGTATATAGCGGACCTAAATATGGTAAGGACCCCTGGCCTAAAAGAACACCCTTGACTCCCCAGGGAGGACAATTTCTGTTTCTACACAAATCCAAGACCTACAATTCTGTGGCATCATTTTTCCATGGAAGGTCACCCCACCACCTCCCTGCTGGAGGAAGTGGACATGGAAAAGGAAATGGAGAAAAAAGAATGGAGAGGAAAAAGGAATGGAAAGACTCTCGCCATATAATCCAGCAATCATGCTTCTTGGTATTTATCCAGATGAGCTGAGATCTTTTGTCCACACAAAACCCTGCACATGAATGTTTATAGCAGCTTTAGTCATAGTTCAAAACTTAGAAGCAACCAAAGGGTTCTTCAACAGGTGAATCCTTAAACTGTGGTCGATCCATACAATGGAGTATTAATTCAGTGGTGAAAAATATTATTCAGTGTTAAATGAGTTATCAAATCACAAAATGACATGGAGGAAACTTAAGTGCATATAGCTGAGTAAAGGAAGGCAATATGGAAAGGTTACATTATATATGATTCCAATTATGTGAAATTCTAGAAAAGGCAAACTTATGAAGACAGTGAAAAGATTAGGGTTATCAGGGGTTGGGGCGGGCAAGGAGGGCTGAATAGGGGATGTTTCGTGCAGTGAAACTTACTCTGCATGTTGCTATTGTCTTAGTTGCTAAATCATGTCCGACTCTTTTGCAACCCAGTGAATTGTAGATAGCCAGGCTCCTCTGTCCATGGGATTTTTCAGGCAAGAATGCTGGTGCTGTGCTGGGTGCTTAGTTGCTCAGCCTTGTCCGACTCTTTGTGATCCCATGGACTGCAGCCCACCAGGCTTCTCTGTCCATGGGGATTCTCCAGGCAAGAATGCTGGAGTGGGTTGCTATTTCCTTCTCCAGGGAATCTTCATGACCCCGGGATTGAACCTGTGTCTCTTGCATTGGCAGGCGTGTTCTTTACTACTGAACCACCAGGAAAGCCCACATGATGCTATAATGGTCATTATACATTTGTCAAAACCCATGTAGAATATATAACCAAGAGTGGGACCTAACGTTACTATGGACTTTATTTAATAATAATGTGTCAGTAGGAGCCCATCAGTTGTAACAAATGTACCACACTAATGCCAGATGTTAATAACAGGCAGAGTCGGAGGGGGAAGGAAGAGAGGGGTATGTGAAACTCAACTTTCTGCCAATGTTTTCTGTAAACCTAAAACTGCTTCAAAAAATAAAGTCTATTAATAAAGCAAAGGAAAAAGAAGGAAGGAAGGAAAGGAGATAACAGTGTAAATACTTCAAATGTCCATTTCCTTCTGCGGACTTCTAGGCCCATGTAGAAGCTAAGGCCCCTTGTTTGCAAATGACAGAAAATGAAACACAAAAGGACTTATGAGGGAAACAAGAAAACCTATTGGGTTATGGGACTACAAAGACCAGGGACAAGTCTTCTCTGCCCCCTCTTCGTCATGAAGTCCTGTAAACAGTGCTGCCTTCATGCCTGCCATCCACAGCTCCCTCCTCAGCAACACGGTCATGGCCTTCATTGATTTTCCTGGGAGTCTACAGGGACCTCATAACTGGTTTCCCTGTCCTCACTTTGCCCTAGTTAGAATCACCTTTCTAAACTGTAAAGTGTTTGTAGCATCTTTCCTTCAGTCTTTGGCTCCCTGCCTTCAGGATCTGGCCCCTACTCACCCGTCTTGTCCCCTGTCTTGCCCCTCCTCCCCTCCAAATGGTACTCTCCAGGAATATGCAAGACCTAGTGATTCCTAGGAAGGGCCACTCAGCCAGACCTTTCCAGTTCCCTCTGCCTGGCACGCCCTCCCTTCCCCAGCAAGTTCTCACTGCCACTCAGCTCAGAGATGATCCTCAAGAAGCGTTTTGATGCTCCCAGGTACCCCGTCTCAGGGTTCCCATTTCACCCTAAGTTTTTCTCCACCGTAATCCTTATGACATTGTGCAGTATTCTTTTCTTTACTTCTCTTCCTCCTTGTTTTAAAGATTAATATTTTTTTGAGTATAGTTGCTTTACAATGTTGCTAGGTTCTCCTGGACAGCAAAGTGAATCAGCTACACCTATACATAGAACCCCTCTTTTTTTGATTTCCTTCCATTTAGGTCCCCACAGAGCACTAAGCAGAGCTCCCTGAGCAATAGAGCAGGTTCTCGTTAATTTATCTATTTTATACATAGTATCAATATCATAGTAACTATGTCAATCCCCATCTCCCAATCTCCTAACCTCCGGATTCATCCCATCCCCTCCTCCTTCCTCCTTCTTTGGACTTTTGAACTCTTTGGACTGTGAACTCTTGGAGGGCAGAAGCTCTGCCTCACCCGTTGTTGCAGGCCTAACAGGTTGCTTGGCACGTGAGAGCATGCCCCCCGCCCCCCACGCACGTTCGTTTCACAAGGACGTGCCAGGTTCTTTGGAGCAGACAGACGGACAGGAGGGGGACAGTACCACAGACCCAGGGGCCTTCTGGACTTCTGATACGGGAGCCTGGCCTGAGGGGACAGCTCGGAAAGTCAGCACAGCAGAGACTGTGCGGACATCTGTCTCACTGGAAAGGTGACAAGTCTACTCCCCAAGGTCCTCCTTAGAGCGGTAGGGAACACCCACAAGCAAGTCAGCTCTGCCTCTGCCCTGGAGACTGTGTGATGTAACAGGAGCTGCAATCAGATACTAATTAGGCTGGTACCGTATCCTCGCTGAATCTGTTTCCTCGTCTGTAAAATGGGAATGGTGACTGAAGATTTTGTCTGGCATTTACTTGGTGCTCAGGACATATGGGTCCCCTCTCCAGCTTCTACCTTCCCCTGCTACAATTCTGTCTCCTCCTGAGCTCTGGGTCTTTAAGGTCACTCGCAAGAGATTCCAGGCTAGTTTATATGTGCTCAGAAACTTAGTTGTATCGGACTCTTTGCAACCCCATGGACTGTAGCCCACCAGGCTCCTCTGTCCATAGGATTTTTCAGGCAAGAATACTAGAGGGAGATGCCATCTTCTCCTCCAGGGAATCTTCCCAATCCAGGGATCGAACGCATATCCCTTACGTCTCCTGCCTGGAAGTGCTCAGTCCTGGCTGTTGCCTTGGCCCCAAGCAGTTACTCACTTACCCAGCTTCTCGATTTTCTTGAGTCCCCTTTCCCAACCAGCCTGGAGAGACTTCTGCCTATCTGCCTGCTCCCCTGCCACACCCCTGCAGCTGACACTTGCTGAGCCCTCCTGGCCGGATTGTGTGACTTGACAAGTGTGGGCTTGTCCCTGCTCAGATTTCTCCCTTCTGACCCTGCTTGTACACCAGGCCAGATTCTGGCCACATCCCTGCCCACTAGCCTGACTGGTAAGGGGGCCGTAGGAGGCCAAACTTATAATTCCGCCCACTTAGGAAGGCACTGGGGAGGGGACATTATCCGGGGTCTCTGCTCCTTTCCTCCCCTTCCCAAAACCAACACTTTTGGCACTCTGCCACGTGGTATTGGTGGGTATACACGTTGCGGTGGTCCTTTTGAAGGGCAATCTGATAAACTGTTAAAATGTACAATTGCGAGGACGTCCATGGTGGTTCAGTGGCTGACTCCACACTTCCATGGCAGGGGGACTGGGTCTGATCCCTAGTCAGGGAACTAGACCCCACATGCTACAACTAAAGAACCCAGTGCTACAGCTAAGACTTGATGCAGTCAAGTAAATTAATTAATTGAGTTGTATCTGTGTCAGTCATTAATTTCTGCTTTAACAAATCATCCTATAACTTAGTGGCTTAAATCAATAATTAGCATTTGTTATGCCACACCGTTTCTGAGGGTCAGGAATTCAGAAGTGGTTTAGCTGGTTTCTAGCTCAGGGTCTTTTATGAACAGTCAAAATGTCACTTGGGGCTGCAATCATCTGAAGGCTTGACTGGGGCTGGAAGACTCATCCCTAAGGTGACTCAC